GATTCATCAAATTTTTGCAAGTTTCTTTTGTTGGTATGAACTGTATGTTATTCGATACACACGAGTTAAACGGTCTCGTATGAGCTACCCAAGATTCAAACATAGCCATCCCTGACCAAAAGCACAACAGAAAATACTAAAAGGGTTTAGTGACCTATTACGGCTTGAATCTTGGGTCTCCAGATCCGCAGCCTGGCACTCTAATCACACTAGACTACACCCGTTCCGCTAATTCTTTAAAGAAGTGTCTCCTTAAAAAGGTGAAATAATAATTTAAAACAAATATATCCAGTAACTGAACTATTCGGTCGTAATTTGTTAAGGTTTCATAAATATCGGCCAACCTGCAGAAAATAGCTTATGAACCCGAATATATATAATTAATTATTTGACGTTATTAATTCAAAAAACATCCTGAGCTCTAAAGCTCCCCCAAAAAGGCTTAGCAAACTATAAACAATAGAAAATTTACAATTTCAATTTTTCTATCTGCAACTCGCAAAATCAGTATTATCTGCTCAGAATTGCACAAGAAAATTTCATATGTCTGAAAAATACAAGAAAAAATTCTGAAAATGGAAAATGTAAACTTTTAATTAACATTTTTATTTATATTAAAGCTTTATATTATACTAAATATTGTTTATTTTATCTCGTAAACTGTGGAATGGTTGATTTCATATGTATCTCTGAGATCTAAAATACTATGTGTTGATTTCTAGGCAAAGAGTTGTTTTATCGTACTAGTGGTGCTCTCAAGTGGTTAGAAATGGAATGTCATAAAAAGTTACTTCCAATCCTTTCAGTTTAACGACTATACGATATATATCTTAAAGATAGCTAATGATCATAGAATTGCCATCCTCCCTCTTTTCTCTTTCTGTATATTTATATAAAGATACGTTCGTCAGTACAGTACAGTACAGTACACATTTATAATGGCTGGAGACGGCTTAAATGGGTAATGAAGAAAAACTTTAATATAAGTTTAACATGACAGCATTACAGCATGACAGCATTACAGTACACATTTGTTTACTTTAAATATTGTGCACACTGTTCTTTTAAAAATCGGCGTCTTTTACTTGATCAAATAGAAAAAAAGTAATAATTATTGGGCATTGTGTATCAAAACAGAGTTTCTACGAAAAAATTATTTATATTTATATTTTTCACTAAAACGAGACAAACTGTCTGGAGAAAAATTAAACTTACGCTGAAAATTCTGTAAAAATCTCACAGACACAGAGAAACCTTCCCCAAGCGTTGGGACCAAGAACTGTATAAGTGCCACGTTGAGTTCTGTCCGAAAAGGCTTCCAGGAAGTTGAATGTCCACAGATCTCTACAAATCTATCTGAAAGAGGTTTTGGATGATCTTCTCCGGGAAAAAACTGTCCATTTAGCTCCCAGCCGTCAATTATCTATGAAAATATAAAAGAAAAAACCAACAACAAATTCGATTTCGCCTTTTGATATGTTAAAGCACTTAGGATTAACAGAAAAAAGTTTGCATCAGAAAAGAAACCCAAGAACCCGACACCTTTTTGGAAAGTGGACTTTCAGTAATTTGTTCCTGATGAAATCACCCGAAATTACTTTGGTATCTCATGACTGAAATAAAAAAAAACACATTAAGTGACGCAGATCAGACACAGGCTGATATCATAGGTAAGTATCTTATACTTTTTGAACTTTACACCAGACACGCATACACATATATATACGTTTAAACATAATTAGAAAGCCAAATTAATTCGAAAAACTAAACATCATAAGGGACGAAGAAAGCTTAAAAAGAGCATTTCCAGTTTATAATTTCTCACATTATAATTTGGAGGTTCGTTTTATTGCTGTTGTTTTGTCCTTATTGCCGCTTTCTTCTTGATTATGAGGTTCTTAGTTTTCATAATTGTCTTTAAAGGGATTAGCACACAATCAGTAAATACTCCAAGTGGAAATATTTCATTACTTAAACAACGACAAAACAATTGCAGGAAACATTCTGAGGGTTTTATTTTTAAACTTTAATTTTTTATGGCAAAATGAATGTTTTTATTGTTCGATATTTAATTTTCGAACATCACCTTTCGCCGACTGTATCAATAATAAACAACCTCGCGTTTTGAAACCTTCTCACAAGCAACAGGTTCCAAAAGGACTTTGAAGTTAATTTTGAAAGAGTGGGTCGTTCAATACACGACTTTCGCCAGAATATTCAATAAATTATCCAAACAAATAATATACCAAATATTACAGACACCGTTAATTTTTAGACAGGATGACATTAAAAACAAGTTATTCATACATATTAAGAGATAAGGATTTAACCAAAAATTTTGGTTATTTGTTCTCATACCAACAAACTCCTGAATACAGAGTTTCGCAAATAACAGAAAAACCACGAAAGATGGTAGAAATAAAACAAAAGCTCCATGGTTAAGAAGTAAGGGTGAAAACAAAGAGCATTTATATTACCTTAACACAGAAATTAAATTTGGTAAATGAAAATCTTATATCTTTATCAAACTCCAGTGTGTCAATTTGACGCACCTGTTGTATGGTGTGTTTTATTGTATTGTAAAAACAAATTACTAGATATTTAGTGAGGAACCGACTGAACTGACTAATTAATTCAAAACACTTTAAGAGTAACTTTTACAGTAGGAAAGTTATGATTTTAATAATTACAACGTTTTGACCTATAGTATCGAGTCATCATCAAATAACGGTTACATACTACAGAATATGTAGATTCTGCAAATAAAATATATTATTGCTTCGAAGTTTCGAATAGATGTCATTGTGATATGTCTTTTAATAAACAATTTAAAATGCTTACCTTTGTTGTATATTTTAATTACTGGTTTTGAAGTCTTACTAGATTCCTTTAAAACTTTCCGATAGAGTTTTATTTTACAAAACTGTAAATTTTATTTTTATTTAGTTCGAAAAACACCATAACGCTAAAAACCTGGTTTAGATATCCGTGGTGACAGAGCACAAATTGTTTGTTTGTTTATGTTTTTATTTGAAGTTAAGCACAAAGCTATACAAAGGGCTATCTGTGCTCTGCCCACCACTGGTATCGAAACCCGGTTTATAGCGTTGTAAGTCCGCAGGCATACCGCTGTGCCACTGGGGGGGGGGGGCACAGAACACAGATAACCCATTGAGTAGTTTCGTGTTTAACAACAAACAAGTTCACTATCACTGGCGTACAATAAATTTCTTTTTTCTTAACTACCAAAATTATCAGCAAGACAACTTTTTAAAATTATTAACCAATTACATCACACCATAACAACCAAGTTTCAGAAACAGTGATTGGCTAAAAAAAAATCGATAAAATTAAACTTATATTCAAGTGAGAAGGCCAAATTAGTGGGGTTACGAGTATTGTATTACGCTTAATAAATTCAGGAACTTCAAAATATTAATGATTTCGTTGAGATCGCGTTGAAATAAACCCCAAATCAAAATTTTCGATTAAAAATATTTATTAAATTCAATAAATAAACTATTTATTGAATAAATTTCAACTCTGAAGCATTTTTGTTTTTTAACAAGTAGTTTATATCCTGTAGTTGTTTTTTTTTTCAATTCAATGGTACTAGTTTGCTCTCGAGGCGGAATTCATACATCCGATATATATATATAAGATGCTATTGGCTTAGGCAGCTACACGATTTGTTTAATTCTATTTATTTCTTATAACGAGCAAAGATTGTTGTTTGAAGTTAAGCACAAAGCTACACAAAGGGCTATATGTTTTCTGCCCACCACGGGTATCGAAACTCGGTTTTTAGCAGCATAAATTAGTATACATACCGCTGCGTCACTGGGGGCCAACGAACAAAGGAGGTAGCGCGCGCTCAGCAAAACAGCTGCTCCTCAGCCTTCATATAGACAGTTGAATATTTCTCTCCAAGTTACTGATCCATAGAGACGTTGCAACACCAAAATCGGGGGTTCGATCATCCCCCCAAAATACACATACACACACTACCAAATCACACCGTAGATACATATAAATAAAGCTGTTGGAAGGTTCAACATCACAGTGAGTGTTTTGACAGTATAGCGGATCGTTGTTTCTCTATACATGTTCTAAATCTTAACTTCTGATTTCGTAATTGAAATCTTTTATTTATTATTTTGTTCTCTACTTAAACATAGGGGGCGTTTACCAAGTCGCCATACAACGAAGCTTATTATCAATAGTTTGTGACACACGAGTAAATTATGTTTTGTTTTTTTTAACAATGTCATTATTCTTTTCTTGTGATAAAATGCAAAAATGACAAGTTAAAAGGGAAATGAATATTCATATACGTAGTTTTTAAATGTTTGGATATTTTACGAAACACGTGACTCAGGGCAAACGAAGATAATGTTCAGCTTGACCTTGACACCTTAACTTATCACAGTCACGAATGAGTTGGTACTTAAAGAATGAAACCCGCTACGCTCTTTTCAACCACTTGCTCAGTGTTAGAAAGTTAGAAGGCGTATAACGGTAAATTCGAGGCTTCGATCCCTCTGGTGTGTTTGCTTGTCTTAGAATGTTCCTGCAAACCGAGAGAAGAGCTATATGAGCATAGCCGTCCATAATTCTGAACTCATAGACTAGAAGTGCGGCAGGTGGTCAACACGCACAACGCCAACTCTTGGACTATTTGACCGTCACTCTTATAATGCACTCACGACTTTAAAGTGCGAAGCGCGTTTTCGTGGAAACCAGATGCGAACCATAAATTCTCGTATTTACAGCTATTCCCTCCCTACGGTAGACATAGCGCAGATAGAATATTGTGGAGCTTTGCGCTTAAAATCTATATAAATGTTCGAGCACTATATAAATGTTCGAGCAAGTAGATTAACAGAATATATCTTATAAGATAACTACCCATAAACGCCAATAAAAGAAATACCACAGATATATTAAATTGCGGTCCCTGCATGTAACTATCAGCCTGAAATAAGAAACTTGTATGTAAATTCGCGAAACTTAATCAAGAAAAATTAAGGGATAAAAAAGGAAGACTTTTCAGTCAAAATCAACCTTTTAGATTTTAAAATAAAATGTGTTGATAATAATATTTTAAGCTATTTACGAATATTTTAAATACTAGGAGGTATCCAAACAAATGATTATTTTAGAGCCTATATCTGAACCACCTATGGTTAAATCTAAGCATAATACTAACTTATAAAGGATTTGCTGTACAACTTACCGCTAGAAGTCCTCCTCCAGAGCAACTAATGTCTAGAGTCTCAACCTCAATTTCTAAAACATGCTCAGGATCAGCGATGATGTACAGGCCACAAATCGATGCAGAACCATCAGACACGAAACGGTACAAACCCTCCTCTGAAGTGACACGTATACATACTGTATTTGAAAAAAAAATACATATATATTGATATATAGGATAATTATTCCTCAGAGTTATAAAAAGAGACTAATTATCAGAGAAGAATTTTTAATGAGCTATATGTTCTAAGTCCGTGCCACTGAGAGGCTATTTAATTTCCTCATTGTTACTTGAATTAGACGAAATATACCTGAACCATCAATGAAAATTCATAAAATAATAAAATAAAAGGCATAGGTTGAATATACTGGAATATTGCGCTTGTATTCTTAAAATGGCATTCTTATGTTCACTTATGTTCATTTCACTAAGAATTCCAGTTATCATGCGAAATAAGAAAACTAGTTAACATAATATTTACCTTGGACAAATATCCATTGTTTAGCAGCTTGGTGTTATTCTTCATAAGTTTGCAAACGAAACAACTAGATAATTTGTAGGAATTTTTCATTTTATAAAGTGCAGTTTTTCTGAGAGGTTCTTCATAAAAAATAGAGTGACGACAACAATGTGAGCGTCTTTTCAAAGCTAGTGAATTATAATTATAATTAATTATGCTTGTCATAATACATTAGTATTACGCCTATTATATTTTGAAACATTCAATTTCTTATTTCGTCCTTTAGGCGTTTTCTAGAATTAGAAGAGTGTATGATAATAGTGATTCAGCCCAGCCTTTATGATGAGCTTTGGATTAAGCAAAACGCATCGTCGGCATTGGATATGGTATTTCAACCCAGTCAGTCTGATGAGCTCTGTTCTGAGCGAAACACTTCGTTGGCAATGGAAATAGCGAACATAGTGTGATTGAAATATTATTATTATACTCGCTTCTAATTCTTGAAAATTCATAAGGAGTTAAGTAAGGAATGTAGTGTTAAAAAGTAAGTCCGCAGACATACCGCTGTGCCACTGGGGGGCTATAATAAAAGGAGATAAAAAATTATAGAAAGTCAGGAGTTAGAAGATTAGAATGAAATTTGAAAATCGTACTAAGCTGGGTGGCACCAGCCAACATTAATAATGAATAATTTTATTAAACAAAATTAAACTGTGACCCTAATTTTTAATCAATTATATTTGACACATGACATTAGTGTTGGGAGTCTACAGGGATTATTTTTATTCTTGTGAGCATTACCTGAAACACAATAATAAAAACAAAAAGGTGTGAATTAAACTCATGATGACATTCTACTATTCTTGATGATGTACGTGATCCCAAAGAAGTATAATGGCGCGAAAATCAATAAATAAACGAAAAAAGAGCCTTATCTTCTAATGATTAAATCTAAAAAAGAAAAGAGAAATGCCCATAAACCTCCCAAAGTCATGGTAAAAGGAGCTAACTGTGAATCGTAATCTTTGATATGATTTAAAAACAATGAAATCATTGTAATAAAATGTTTGTTTTGTTTGAAGTTAAGCTCAAAGCAACACAACGGGCTATCTGCGTACAGCCATTCTCAGTTTTGAAACAATACATTAGAGAGATTGGACGCGTTCAACACCTCGCCGACGGAAGTTTCTTGTTGCAGTAAATTTTTTTAGCAGGTTAGTTTTTACGGGGCGGAGTTGCTAGCCCCGCGTCCAAACCTTCTCCTTTCTCATCCTGGACTTAGGACCAGGCAATGGTGGTGGCATCCCTGCCGGGGAACGAATTCGGTACCTTTGGATTAGAAATACAACGCGCTATCCACTGCGCTATAGGGGCACACTCACAAGAATAACTGTCATGTTAAAACTTCGCTACAGTATGGAAACAGCTATGAGTTGAAAAAGAGGTATAAATCATTAACTTAAACTGAACTTACCGCCACTATCTTCAGGAACAATGTCAAAATAATGCGCGGAGTCCACATTCTGCTCTTGTCGACGTTTTCCTTGAGTATCCTGAAATTATGAGAAAAACAAATTTGCACGAATCTAATAGTAAAGAAAGAAAGAAACAGAGTACTAGAGTAAACTATATATATATATGTATATATAAATATTTTACTGAGATAAATAAAAGAGATCAAAACATGCGCCATAACATGAAAATTACTGATATCAAACTTACCTTCGTATGTTGAGAAAGCAAACTACTCTGTTTGTTTTGTTTAGAATTTTCAAAAATTACCAAGACAACTTTGAAGTTGTTTGTTTTTCAGATTTGTGCAAAGCTACACAAGGGCTATCTGCGAATAGCCATCCCCAGTTTTGAAACAATACATTAGAGAGAAGGCAGCTAGTCAACAACACCTACTGCCAGGTTTTGGGCTACTGTATCAGTAGGTGGGTGTTGGACCGTAACAATTATAGTAATCCAAAGACCTGAAAGTGTTCAGCAATAGGATACAATGCATGAACATTCGGATTCACAAGCCAGACACGTTAAGTTCTAGGCTACGTCCAATCAGTTAAATAAT